AATTCAAAAGGGTTCATAAACTTTTAAGCAGCGCTGTACATAGTGTTAGTATCTGTAGTTAGGACAGGAATAGAGTCCCACTAGTTTAGAAGAATGTAGAGGCACCACAGTTTGTTAAGAACTCAAGGATAGGAGCTTGCTAGAAGGGGGATCGTTCAGCACCATGGAAAATTGACTTGTTCTAAAAAAATCTCGTCAGGGTTTTCTGGCAGCCTCATTTAGCTGCTGCAGTACAACATCCTCACAACCAACACATTCTCACAACCAAATACTTTCTCATCCTTGGATTCTTAGGGAATAGCTTTATCTGAGGCAGATTCAAAAGTAAGTGCCAAAGGATGGAAAGGCACCTCGCATTGCAATAAATGTATAAAGGATTGTGAGGTTAATTGCAAGGTGTAATAAGTCTACTATTTCTTCATGTTCATTTCAATCTACCGTTGTATCATTGAGATTCCCTCCTCAGTAACCAAGTATACCTTTTAAACTTTAGATTGTTCCATTGATTCTTAGAAGGCTTCATTCAGCCCAAGGAAAAGAATTCAAGTGTTTAAAGAGACTGATGCCACTAGTACATACTTTCCACCTAATCCTTGCTGGTACGCCCACTTTTGGCAGCAACGACAGGACTCGAAAGGTCCTGGATGCATTGCCCTGACCTAATCCAAGCTTTAATGCTGACTAGTAGTTCCAAGTCAGGGAGAAGACCTATCTTTGTTCACTAACAGATCATGTTCTGTGAAATAGCTGTAGTATGAGATAGAAGTACTTGTTCTTTTATTGGGGTCTCTGTAAATCATGTTGAGCAAAGTATAGAAAGAATCTTTTGACTGAAACCTTTCTTCTTTGATGCCAAGCTGAAAGGGCATGGCTTCTGCCCTTTTCTTCAATTCTTTTTTTGTCTGCTCTAGCAAGAATGTTGTGGAGTTCTCAGAGTTTGCTAAGGTTGGTTCTTTCATTTGTAGTTTTACCTTTTATTTGCATTTTATTTTTTGCTTCTTCTCTCAAGTTAGTATGAGTCCTTGCAAGTCTTTGTTGGAGTCACATGGTCTTGAATTTCACTTTCCATATATGCCTACGGTGAGGCAACAAACCTCCACCTTCTAATAGTTATTTTGTGTTTGCAATGCTTGGGTAAGGGTCTTCTTGTTAATATCTCACTGTCAGGCCTATATCAAACTGGCTAGGCAATACAGATTCTCAGGCTCGCAGACATCTTTCTAGGAAAAGACTGTAGGAGCTGCAGGCTCAAGGGTAAACTATAGCCAAGTCATTTTCAGTCTCTAAATCTTGAGTCTCTAGATTGACAGTCGTGCAGGAAGGTTTAGGCTGATTCTCCAACCAAGGAGTTTGAAGCCATTGAAAAAGTCACAGCCTTACTTGAGAGTTTACTCTACGTATCTTGGATAATATGACCTAGGCCATAGCTGCTAAGTTCCTTGTGAGTTTGATAAAACTAGGAAGAACTGTTCAGCCACACTCTCCTCTAGTGCTGACAAAGTTGTTTTCTCTTTCCTCAGAGATTCCCATACAGTTGCTGCCCTCTCTTGGACTCCTAACCAAACTATTGTTGCACACACAGACACACAAAGTGCAAGACAGAAAGTTTTCTTTTCTGGTTTTGTTTTCTCTGGTATTAGATATTGCATTTGTGACAAAGAAAATGCAGAAAAGAAATATTGGTGAAAACAAAGAATAGGGCTCCTGAGGCTGTAATCCAGAAAACTAGGACTCTGGCTGCAACAGATATACTTGGACAGCAACCTTAATGAGTTTTTAGCATAGGACAAATGAGGGTTAGAAATAAGAATTCTACCAGGGTGTAGCTTCCTAAACTGCAAATCTCTACAGGTGTCATACAGTGTTGATTGAAAGGTTTATTCAGGGACATGGGGTATTTGTTATGCCCAAATATTCACAAAATCTGAAAGTACATCAGTTGTAGTGATTTACCTCATCTGCACAATGAATTATGCAAATGATGTAAATATATTTGTAACAGAAATTTAAGTGCTTTGTCTACAGATGTAACAGACCCAGAAGATATTTTAAGGGGATGCCCCAGCAGAAATTTTGTCTACTGCTTCTGTAGTCTGCTAAATGATGTCTGTTAAATAGAGGTTTTGCTGTAATAGAAGCTTTTGTACCATTTCATTCAGGGAGTATAAGCTAACTACAAGTATTTGTAAAAATAAAAAACAAACAATGCCCTACACTCTTTGATATACATACTGCCTTTCTGGAACACTTTTTAAAAAACAGTTCTATTCTCTATATCTTTTTTTAAGAATATCATTTTGTGTATGCTTTTTTAATCCAGTCTTTTTAGTGACTATCGTTATATGGAAGTGCTCTGCAGTATGTCTAGGGAAAGTGCAAGATTTGATGGATCATCCTATTTGTTGGATTCCAGACTTGTAGCAAATGGATTTAAGATAAAGATTATATCAGGTATCTATATCTTGGTTGCTGACTTACATAGTTTTTAGTATTATTTTTTAATATATATTACAGCAGGAAACTGATGATACTTGTGGCTCTTTACACATTTATGACCGAAACAACATTTAATCCACTTGGTTTTAATAATCTAGTATAAATCTAGAGAGTAAGTTCATTATTCTCTATCATGTGCCCATCTTTAGTACCATGTGTTAGGACTTCCAGGGAAGAAATGGCAGACTGAAGATGTCTTTTCTAAAAGCAGAGCCAATGACCACAGTGGAATGAAGAGCAGCGAGTAGACCAGCTCTTCGTAGTTCCTCTGTACAAGGAGAGGACTTAAGATCATCCACAAGTGCTTTGGAACAATTGCTCCTTGGGAGGAGACCGCAAGACAGCAGTCTCCAGCAGGTTTAAAGCTCTGGAAGATGAAGAAATAGCCATCTTGCTGAAACCATAGTCACTGCCTTCAAAAGGACACTGAGTTTGCATACTTCCTTTTCTAATCACTTTCAGAAATTGCTTGTTAACTGCTTTTCAGTTATTAGGAATCTTTGGATTGACAAGTTTTACAGCACTGGGTGAGTTTCCTTCAATCCTCAGCAAAAGAAGTTTTAAATACAAGAGTTTAAGGACTTAAAAAAATATTTTTTGGAATAAAAAGCAAAAGGGTGATTAAAACTTTGATTTTGGAAAGTTACAAATGGACTAACTTTTGTAGGGTCCAGATAAATTTGAAATAAGATTTTGGAATTAACTATAAAGAATCCTTCCCATGGGAAAATGCTTTTGTTTTGAATTCTTTTTTTAAAAAAATAAGACTTTAAAAATTGGACACTAGAGGGAACTAGAAGGAATGAAAGATTATAATTTTGTAGGGTCCAGATAAATTTGAAATAAGATTTTGGAATTAACTATAAAGAATCCTTCCCATGGGAAAATGCTTTTGTTTTGAATTCTTTTTTTTAAAAAATAAGACTTTAAAAATTGGACACTAGAGGGAACTAGAAGGAATGAAAGATTAT